CCCGCACCCCGCCCAAGCCCAGCGGGCAGCTGCGGGCGGCGGCCTCCGGGATCCCCCGCCCCGTCCGCGCGGGGCTCCGCGAAAGGCGCGGAGAAGAGCGCGGCGCGGCTGCTGCGAGGCTCTGGCCCGACGGCGCCCGCAGGCCTCTCCCCGCTCTAGTCCCTTCTCTCTCGCTCTTTCTCTTCCCTCCCTCCGGGTTTCCGTCATCGGCCCGGCATTTCCGCCGGAAAAGGCGAGTAGGCGGTGCCGCCGGAATTCAGCTCGGGCGGTGAGCAGCGCCTCACGCGGAGTGGAGGAGAAACGGTCCGAGCGGGCCGCGTGCGCCTCCCAGCCGCTCGCAGCTGACCCCCTCGCCCACGCAGCCAGCGGCTCCTGGCTTCCTCCTGCCACACGGCCCTCTGGGAGCGGTGCTCTAGCCATACGTTCCACCCCGTGCTTTTTTGGGAAGCTTGGACTTTTCCCCCAACATTTCACTCTCCTATCACAGGCATTAGATAACTACCGAGTAAATAATTTATAGTCTTTTTAAAAATGTTATTTTATGTGTATGCATGTATTGCTTGCGTGTAGGTAAGTGCACCCTTGTGCAATGCCCACGGTGGTCAGAAGAGGCTATTGGATCCCCTGGAATTGGAGTTTCGGACAGTTGTTAGCTGCCATGTGGGTGCTGGGATTCGAACCTGGGTCTTCTGCAAAAATAGTCAATATTCTTAACTCCTGAGCCATATCTCCAGCCCCATAATTTACAGTCTTAACACTAGTGAGGCCTCAAATCCCGAATCTTTTAGCATTAGAAAGATAAAATTATTTTTTTAAAGATTTATTTTTATTTATGTGCATGTTTGTACGTATGTTTCAGGGTGCCCGTGGAGGAGAAAAAAGACGGCATTGGATTCCATGGAGCTAGACTTAACAAGTGGTTGTGAGCCACCTGAAAGGGGTGCTGGGACAGAGAAACCGGCTCTGCAAGAGCGGTAAGTGCTCAACCACACAGCAGTCTCTCCAGCCCCCAAAATGACCTGTGGCTATTCCAGCTCCAACATTATTGAGTGTGGTTGTGATGATTTCTTCAGACAGCAGTGGCCAGCTACCGACCTTGTAGAGCCAGGCTAAATAACCTGACTGCCTCTATCCTAAATGTCCTAAATGCCCTCCACTGCTGCTGGTCCAAGTGGTAAACAGCATCCTGAATCAGAAGACAAGGTTTCTCTATTGGTTTTGCAAATTTCTCAGCTTGGAGCAACAACCAAACTTCAAATCTCAGACTCATCAGCTAAAATCAATAAGGACGACTGTAGCCAGTTATGAAGATTAAATATGATTTTTATTTACCGAATATTCAGGTGGGGGGATCTCATGCCATGGTACATGGGTGGAAGTCAGAGAACAGCTTTGAGGAATGGGTTCTTTCACCTTTGTGTAGGTTCTGGGAATCAAATGTAGGTTGCCAGGCCTTCCACTGAGCCATCTCTGCAACCCTAGATCTTTATTTATGTTTCCCAGGCTGGGTACTTGCTATGTAGCTGAGGATGACCTTGAACTTCTAGTCCTCCTGTCTTCCTGTCTTACCTCCAAGTGTTGGGATCAGGCACACTACCATATCTGGCTTGAAGATTACATTTGCAAAGTGCCTGTTAAACAGCATCACAGAAACATGTTAGTTTCTTTATTCTTTTCAAGGAAAAACTGCAGAAAAAATTTAAAAGGATGGCATTTGAGCTGAATTCTAAACTTTCTCTCCAAAACCCTTGAAGTTGCCTGGAAAAGGGGAAAGAAGGGAAGGAGGGAGGAGGAAAAGGGTGTGGGGGGGCAGATATCTGTAAAATTTACTATTGAAGTCTCTGAGGAGGTTCAAAGGAGCATGAATTTCACCTAAGCCTAAAAATCAGCTCAGTGAAAAATCGTATTTCCTGAGTTCCTTGAGAACAAAAAATGAACCCTGATGAGAAATGGGAAATATTAAGAAGGAAGGTCCTTGAAGCAGAAGCAAATGTTAGGAATTGATGTGAGGGGATGTTCTTAGAGTTGGAAGTGAGTAGGAGAGTCTGTGAACATACCAGCATGGGAGTTTAGCTGGTTGGTGATGTAGAGAAAATATGAATACAGTTTACGCATCCCCAACCCCCACCCCAAGACAGTTACCACTGTACATGACAGGCTGTATTGGAACTTGAAATCTTCTAGCCTCAGCTTCCCAAATGTTTTGTTTACAGGTACTCCCTACTACACCTAGATATCTTTTCTTGTGTAATGTATTACTAGGGAACTTGGGATTCCCTTTAGTGAATTCTTAGTCTTATTAATAAAAGAATTTAAAAACAGACTCAGAAGGAACTCAAGGACCATTTTACTAGAGTTTGAGAAAACAACAGGGAAGGCAAGCAGTAAATCTTGGCAGTTGCCAGGAGGAGGGAGATGGAGAAGAGAGGAAGTCATGTTTCTTGACTTAGGGCCTAAGAAAGCAGTGATGTTCAACGCGGGGTTGCATGGTGGAAGGAGGGTGAGGGCTTCAGAAAAAGAGTGAGAATGTCCAGAGGGTCGGGGAAAGACACAATTTATTAAGCCTTAAAGACCTCATGGTCCCCTAGTGCTTACTGCTGAACTATTGGCAACTAACAGATGGGGGTGGGGGTGGGTAGTGTCCTGTTGTGCAGCCGCTTCTTTCTTTGCTCTTTGGGGGTGTGTGTGTCTGCGTGTGTGTGTAGTAGTGGGGGAGGTGTTTGCTTTTGTGGAATATAAGCATCGCTATTCAGTCCCTGCTAAAAACGTACATAAAACTGCTTAATCTTGCCGGGGTGGTGGTGCACGCTTTTAATCCCAGCACTTGGGAGGCAGAGGCAGGCAGATCTCTGTGAATTCAAGGCCAGCCTGGTCTACCTAGTGAGTTCCAGGACAGCTGGGGCTACAGGGAGACCCTGTCTCAAAAAGACCAAAAACAACCCCCCCCAAAAACCCCCCAAAACAACAACCCCCCCCTGCTTAATCTTATATTTTTTGTATTAATTCCAGACTTATTTACTGAGTGCTCTCATCTTTTATTCTGTTTACCTCTATTTGGTCAAATAATTTTAAAATGGTTTTGTTAGGGTTCCAAACAGCAGCAGTTTCCCCCCTCCCCAACAGGGACCTTACCTTGACCTTTGGAGTCAAGGGAAACAAACTCTGCTGAGAAGCAGCCTGCCTCTCCTCTGATCTCCG